CATTGCTGCCAATCATGTTGTGTTAGTAGAAACAGCCATTAGTGCAAGATGAAGTTTATAACTGAGTGTTGGATACTGTCTGTTGAACAACCTGCCCACTGTGGCCTGGCTGGTGCCAAATTTTTCATCTTTTTGGCACCAGGTTAAGATGGCACACTCCTCTGAGGCCTTTAAAGGTTTATGTGGGCACTCAGGGCCTTGAGGGAATGATTTGCAGAGTCATTTTTGCTATTGTGTACTAGCTGTTTTAAACTTTTATTTTTTCTGTTTTTATGATTTTTATTGATTTTATTATCTGTTGTAAACCACCCAGAGGGCTTCAGCTGTGCAGCATTATATAAATGAAATCATCATCATCACCACCACCACCTCCATCTCCAACAGGGACTTCCAAAATGGGACAAATCAGCAGAACTTCTTTCTGTAAGCTGCACTGAATTGTACTGCTTCAGAAGTGATAGTTTGAGGTAGTTTCTGCTTGCACTATCACATATGAGCTCCCTATTGTGCTAGTGGTCCTCTGATCATTTTTGTTGTCCTTCTCTGTACTTTAAATCTTTTAGCCAGTCTTAGTTGTAAAGCCGATGTATAGCGGGAATGGCCATCATAGTCAATGATAGATGGTTTTCATACAGGAGTACCTTGAAACATAGATTTCCTGTACTGCTGACATGTAATCTAATCTATGTGTGAACAGTAAGGGTCCAGCAGCTGAGGGCACAATTCTATGCATATTTAGACAGAAAAAAATCCTACATCTCCCAGCATTCTCGAGCCATCCATTCCTGTCTAAACATGTAATGATTTTTTCCCTAAACATTTATGACTTCACTGTGAAGAAGGCAAACTCCATGCTAGACATGATCAGGAATGGACTAGAAAATAGAACTGCCAACAGCTTGCTTCCTTCATACAAATTCTTGGTGGAACCACACTTGGAAAATTGTGTTCAGTTCTGGTTGCCTTACCTGAAAAAGGACACGGTTGAGTTGTAAAAGGTGTGGAAAAGGGCAACAAAATTAATCAGGCGTCTGGCGCAGCCTCCCTATAATGAGCAGCTATGACAACCGGGACTGTTCAGCTTAGAAAAAAAGGTAAGTGAGGGGAGACATGAGAGAGGTGTTTAAAATAATGCATGGTGTGGAGAAAGTGGAGAGGGAGACATTTTTCTCCTTTTCCCGTAACACTTGAATCTGGAGTCATCCCATGAAGCTGATTGGTGGGAGGTTTAGGACAGATAAAGGAAATTCTTCATACAGTATACAGTGAAACTGTGGAATTCACTGCCACAGGAAGAGGTGATGGCCATCAGTCTGGATGGCTTTAAAAAGGAGGCTATCCATGGCTACTAACTTTGTGGGCTGGGTGCTTCTTCCTTTATCACAGGTGGCATGCCTACCTATAGCAATTGCTGGGGTCTTGCACACATCCTGCTTGAGGGATCCTGTGGGCAAATGGTTTGCCCCTGTGTGTACGGAGTATTGGACTAGATGGAGCTTGGGTCTCATCCAGCATGACTTTTTATTTTCTTATATTGGTTCAGTTCATTTTTGATCAGGATTTTACCTTTCAACTTCTGAACCAAATACTGACTTAGATGCAATATTTGGTTGAAATACATTTCAAAGCTGACAGTGTGATTCACAGACCAAAGAGAGATGGATTTGGCAGCATAGGCACATGTAAAACATTTAAATGAGTACATTTAAAAATATGTGCATTTCAAAATTAGGACATGTAAAATGTGTATAATTAGGCTTTAATAATGGGATAAAATGTGTACATTTGGAAATGCATATGCTTCAAAAGGAGTTTGTTGTTATGCTGTTACGTGCCATCTACTTACGCTGACTGTGTAATGTCTTGCGCTTGACAGCCCTGCTCAGCCCTTGTAAACTCAAGGCTGTGGCTTTTTTTATAGAATTGAATACAGATAAATATGCTTTAATCGCAGGAGAGAAGAATACTTGCATTCTGAAATGAGCACAATAGATGCATATGGTTGGAAAAATACTCCTGATAATATGCATGGATTTTCATGTGAAATGAAGAAAAAAGCTAACAATTCGATACCTATTTTAGTTGGAACAGGCCTTGGGGCAGAACAGAGAACTTTGGCAAGCTGATACACACATTCATATTTACAAAGGTTATCCCCTCTATTTCTGAATGCAATTGCTTATGTAGCCGAAAAGGCACCACCCCTGCCTAAAAGGGAGGTATTACTGTACTTTGGAGAATCCCCAAGTTTGCAAAATTATAAAATAAATAAATAATTGTAGGAGGCACACAAAACATTCCAATGAAGACTGGGGCTGCCCAGTGAAATGACAATTAAATGTGGGGAGAGCTGGACAAGTAAATAGGAGGAGGGACAGAACGGCGTGCCCTGAACAGAAACATATCACACTGCATCATTTTGTCGTAGGTCCCATTGTCACAGGGTTGCTTGGGATGCTTTTATTATTACTATTTTAAAGAGTCTTCCTTGTATGAAAATGTACATGTTGCCTTGCCTCAAAAATTTGTAACTGGATTTCTGAATATTTGAATGAACCCTTTCTCCTTGTATATATTCATGTCTGTTGCCCCATGCCTTTTAACACATTATGGACAGAGACGGTTATCTTTAGTCTGATTCTAGAAGGAATCTGCAAAAGACCCTGTAAATGCAGCACAAAAATGGCAACCTCTGTTCAGTTAGAAACCAATAGCAAATAGAGGTTTTTTTTAACTGGAGGTCTGTATTGTTTGAGTGTGTTAGAATGCTTTGGGATCTAAAACCTGCTGCAAACTGGATCTTAGATGAGCAGCTGGTTACAGTCATACCTTATATTGTGTATAGTGATGAATTATGTGAATGCTGCATTATTTAAAAAGACAAATGTGAGCATCACTAACTTCTGCTGGCAATGACTAATCATGCAGGTTGATACTCAATCTGATGTGTAGTAGTAGATTGTTGTGAGAGATGGCACAGCATCAGGCTGCAAGCTGAATATTCCAATAAATGCTCTTTGGAACTGTGCTATCAAACCCACCACATAAAGACTAGTGGCTGAAACATCCCCCCACCCCAATTCTGTGGGACTAGAACTCCCATTAGCCCTGGCCAGCATAGCTAATGGTAACGGAAGATGAGAGTTGTAGTCCAGTATTCCACTGGAGGACCACATGTTCCCCATGGCTGGGTTAAATGCACTTCATACTAAAGGTAAACTCAAGTGTTTCATCTGCATGCTTTTGTGGTGTTCTTACACCATTGTATACACCATACACTTTGGGCCATTTCCTCTGTAGTGGAAAGGGTATCTCCACCCTACCTTTGGTCATCTGATAGGACAAGTAGAACTCAAAATCTTTGCACAAGTACCACAGATGAAAGGTGTGGTAGGTCTGATTTGGACTATGGCTTCCTACCGTTACAAGAGATGAGTGAAATATTGAATGAATTTCTTTTGTTCGAGTACTGCCTATTCCACTGCCATATTTTCTTCTTCCTGTCCTCCTGTGTTTCCCAAGGGTAAAAAGACCTCTTATTAGATGCCATCGGTTCAGTGCTTTGATTTCTCTGATGTCCATGCAAAAACAATTTCCTAAAGCTATACCAAACACTGGCACATTTAGACTGAAAGAAACTGAAATAGGAAAACATTTCCCGAAAAACAATATATGCTTTTTCTACTTCTATTCATGGCTGTTCACAGGCATTGTTCACTATTTCTACTACTCCTTCAATACCACTTTTAAGTTGGGATCTCAGCCAATCAGAGGTCACGCAGTGGACTTAATAATACAACAACAGTTTGTAGCCAATCAAACCTCTGTGTATATTTCATTCAGGGCAAATGAAGCCAATTCATAGATTAGCTGCAGATTTGCATTAAATGATGCCAACATGTAACCAAATCATTTGATTTTATAACATTGTGACTATGAGTTGAACTACATGTTATGCTAATTGCAGGATGTAGCTGAAGGCTACCCAAGTGTAAGTGCATGTGGCACTAATTCAGAGCAGAACCACAATGTAGTGGGAGGGTAAAATTCAACCTCTTTCCCAACCATTTCCCCCAAACCCTCCTTTTGCCCATGTGGGGACAGGCATTTTTAAAAAAGGGAGGGATAACTGCTCATACCAGTGGCATTCCACCCCCTGCCCCGCTTGTCCCTCACCTTTGGGGTGTTTAACCATTGTGTAGTTGTCCTGATCCAAATAGGGCATCACATGCTTACACTAGAACAAATAAAAAGTTAATCTTCCAAATGTTGGGCACAGTTTACCATATTGCAATAAAATAAAATATTAAATATGGTAAGATGAAAACATAGAAACTTTGGCTCAACTTTAAATAATCAATTGCTCCCCTCTGGTTTGGCTGCTTGGGGTGAAGTCTGTGCTCCTGGGTGCATGAAGTAATTTTAATGCACTCATTTTATGCTGCACAGCCAAGGAGAAGATCATAACAGATGTTTTGATGGTGCTTCAGTCATACTGATTTTGGGACAGGTAGTATCAGGGATTTTTTTTTGAGGAAAACAATCTGTGTGTGTTGACCGGCTAGTGAATCTTTACTGCTAAAGGTTTTCTGAACAGACTATGAAAACATAAACAAAGCACAGCACACAGGAAAGCTATACAGAAAACAAAGTATGAATGCTTTTGCTTTGTGCTTGAAGATGGATATTCAACCACCCACACTTTTTTGTGTGCAATGAATATAGAAACATTGAGCTATATGGGGAATTTTCTGTAACCTCATTCTGAAAGTCAGTGTTTTGCATTTCAGCTGGGTAGTTCGAATGATCTGTTCCTAGGACAGAAGCTCTGATGCTGGCAGGAAGTGGCTAGAAAGGCTTCCCTGCTCATTTTAACAAGAAATATCCAACCCATCAAAACTTCTGGGTATGTTTGGTTTGGGCTCTGTTCTAATCACTTGATTAGGGTGAAGGTATGGAGGCCTGGGATCTTGATCCAGTTTGTGGCATTAAAAACTCACCTGTAAGACCAGCAGCTTCAGCAGACAAGAAAGCACTCCATGACAACAGGAAAAACAAGCCAGTTTCCAGCATAGGGAATTCACAGATCTTGGTAAACTTTGTCAAGTGCTGAAAGAAAATGCTAAGGAAAAGGAGGAACTATTGACAGATTTCAACACAAAGCTGGTAAAAATAATTTTGTACAGGTTGAGAACAAGATAATGGAGCCACTTCTTTCTTACATAAATGGAGTAAAACTTAGGAGTAACCTCAACAGTTCTCTTTGAGGTATAATGTAACACCTTGTCCATGGACATTTCACCTGTGCTTCTTCTCCCAAACTTTGCCTGTTTCTCAGCAGAATGGCAGGTTTTCTGTAACACAAGTGGAAGAAAACCCACTCGTCTGTCCCATCACTGATTGGAAAGAAGAGCCCAGTGGCTTGTATCAGTGGTAGAGAAAGCCTGCCCTTCTCTATCACTGAGAGTGATTTCTTTTTTCTCTGTACAAAAAAAGACACAGGATGATCACGCTTGCCTCTCTGCATAAACTCCCCCGTGATATTAGAGCATGTACTTTCAGGGAGAAAGGTCCTTTTCTTGATGGCATCCAACTCTAGGTGGTGGTCCAGAAAGCAATCTGAACCTGTGGCCTAACCCCCCATCCCTTATATAATACAATAATCAAAACACCTGGCTCATATTAAGTTAATTGAGACTAGTGGTTCCCAAACAACTGATCCCCAGATAATGTGAGAATGCAGCTTCCACCCTCTCTGAAGCGTGGGATCATGATACTACGTGAATGCACATGACCAGTCTTCTTGGAAGGGGAAGTAGAAAAATATTGCAGCCTTGGAAAAGATGTGTGCCATGAGCTTCTCCCATGGGTTCTAGAGCACTTGATGTTACCAGGGTGACATGAAATGACCACCTTCTGTAGCAGCTCCTATACTAGTAAGAAGATATCAGAAATAACCCTTAATACGTCAGTTCCTGTATCATACTTCTGATACTGATAAAAAGACTTTGATGAGTTGCCTTGCTTCCCCAGATTTCTGCAGAGATTCCAAAGTGTGGCAAACTCTCTTCAACATTGGCAGAATTATACTGAGTAGCTTATCAAGTGGTGACATGCACTCTGTGGATGTTAACAATGGGTAACAGGTCATCTGCATTCTCCGTGAATTTTAGGAAGGAAGGTACTTCAGAGTTACAAGCAGCAAACAGTTGTCTGGTGATGAATAATTTCATTCCTGACAAGTTTATGCTTCTGACAGTCTACAGCAAAAGCTACATTAAGAAAAAATTAAACTCTGCTCTCTATGACAATTTAGCATGGAATTTCAAGCGCAATATTCTTGGCTATGCTTACAACTGTTTGTGTTCTGAAGCGGTTGAATAAATCACTATGATCATGTGGTCAAATGTAGCTTTAATTTTCCAGAATTAGTTCAGTTCAGATGCTGTCTAATTCTATTTCCACTTCTCTTTGCAATGTTTTCAGGTCACGGAAATGCAGCTGTGACAAAGTCAAATGGCAAACAAGATGATCAAGTCAAAATTAGCTCAAGGATTATATTATTTCAGGCTAAGGGGAAGGTCATTGCAAGCTCAGTAGAGTTTATTTAGCATTAATTTAAGGAAGGGAAAATAGGAATATAAAGATCTGGTCCAATAAAACAGAAGAAAAAAAGATTAGATTAAAACATTCCATCTGGATACTCAGCATTCCTTTTTGGGGATAAAAACCCACCACTATTGGTGCAGGCTGGCAGTGGTGGTTTGCCAGGCACTTTCACAAACCTGGTGAGACACCTTCTACCTGAACTGTCTGCCAAGGCCAGGGGTGGGGAACAGATGTGAATGCGGCTAAGTCCATGTAGGTGTCCATCTAGCTTTAACAGTTCCCTGTAAGAATTCAGTTCAGACCTCCAACAAACGTCATTTATCTCTCCACCTGCCAGGCAAGTAAGAAGAAAGAGAGAAAGGAGTGGCAAAATGAAATGCTTGCCCCACACCTGTTTGGCTCTAGCTTGCACACACCATTGCTAGTTGCTGGCAGCGGATCCTACCCACTGTCAACGTGCCATCCTAAGACATATTACTCCCAAAGGGGAGAAGGACAAACCTCTCAGTTTTTCCCTCTTACATTAGATTTTATTTCCTAATTCAAATCCTTCCCATCCCTTAAGGAAGACTTTTGCAAAATTATGTTTTTGGTGGTCTTTTTGTTTTGTCAAAAAATTTACTGAATGAAAACTTTGCCTTTTCCTACCCCCAGGAGAATACAGTTGTTGGAAAAAAAAATGGTCCATCACTTCTGGCCTATGCACTCACAAAGACAAAGCAAGGGTGGCGAAAGCTCATATCTTTTCCCTGTGCTTCCTCTGGTTCCAAGACATGCTTAGGAGGTCATTCCTCCTTGTTCTCCCTGCCCCCTCAAAATTTCCTACCCGCACACATTCATGTACCACTATCCCATTGCCATTCTCACAGACATGTGCAATTCTCTGCTTTTGCTCCCAGAGAGGTTTTGAGCCACAGCATGGGTAGCCTTCTGGCTACTTCCTCTTGAGCAGGGGGCATGGCCGCCCGCTGCTTCCGAACTAGGCTCCTGCTCTCTTCCCGTCTTGTATTCCTTGCGCTCTCCTGCAGCATGCCCCCCCCCATCCTGCTCTCCATTACCGTGGTGCAGTAGGGTATCCCCAGCAATTTGCACCATTGTTGTATTTGCAAAGCGAACACGTTGCAATTATTTACACCAAATATTTATGATATCGAAATGAGAAAATAAGAGTATCAAAATAATAATGATCCAAACCCCTCCTCCTCTTCCTCTTCTTCCTCCTCTTCCTTCCCTCGTCGTCCTCCAAAAAAAAAACAAAAATAAAAAAACCATTCAGCTTCTAAACATGCATTTAGTATTATTGTAGAAACCTGAACTACACATTTTGCTATGTAGGAGTGGAGAGGTATCTTCTTCTGGCTTTCAGTATCGCACGATAGCTGGGTTCACTTCAGAAACGGCTTCAGTTCAAGTTACCTTAGGAATACCAAGGGAATTAAGGTCATTCACTCAACATCTGAGGCTCTGCTTTGATATTCATTGCCGACTGAGGAGTGGTTGACTGCATGTAAAACCATGTGTGGTCTAAACTACATGAAACATCTTTCCTAGAGAAACCCATCTAGCCCATGACTGATATATCATGCTCATGACATGGCTTTTTTAGGCAAAGTTTTTGCAAAGTCAAAGTACTGTTAGTTAGTCTGGATTTTTAGCTTTTGTCCTGGAATAGTTTTCTTCTGCTTTATTTTCATTTTAAATGCTGTTATTTTATATTTATTATTATCTGACATCCAAGGGGATTGCCATTACTGCTGCTGTTACAGCACCACCGCCACAGCCACCACCTCCATCATCAATTGCCTGTTGTAACTGGATTTTAATTTATTTTGCTTTTCTTCACTATCTAAAATCTGACAGGTTTGCCATCATTGTTGCTGTTTTGTTATTACTATTACCATTGTCTTTATCATCGTTATAATCAGCAGCAACTTGCTATGATTGCTGTAATTAGATTTTAATTTATGTTGTAAACCAGTCTGGTTTTTGTTTGAAGAAAAATGGGGTAGGCTTTTTTAAAAAGTTAACAATTGATAGCACAAAGTGTGATGGAATTGGAAACCCACTTTTGCCTGTTCTGAGATTATATTCGTAATTCTGCAAAGAAGCAGTACTGGACTTTCTTGTACTGTTTGAGTCCTTGGGGCAGGGGGTGGGGGTGCTTTGATGCTTGCTTCTGAAACCCCACAATACCTGCTTGCTCTGTACATTTTAAAATTACAAGGTTATTATAAACACTTGCCAAGCTTCAATGCTTTCTCTCTTCCAAAGGAAACTCATCCAGAAACACCGAGTGTAAAAGGAGAAGGATGGATGTGAAAGAATATCAGCAAATGTCAGTTAAATTTCACAGTACATGGTGTATATCTGTTTTAGGAATAATTCTCACAAGGAGGGCAAGTGTTTTCTCACTTCATCGAGCCGATTCATGCATACCTTTGTTTTAAAACACATATTCCTTTCCCCACTTTGCACCCAAGCTTACAGCATAACACAGAATCATACCATTAACACATCAGTCTCAAACAACTATCCATCCTAAAATGCACTGGCAATCACATGCTGCTATAAAAATATTTCCATTTGCCTATTAAAGGCTAATTACAGAATTGTATATTCTGCAATTCTTCGTGGGTGGAGAGACTTTAAAAAATATAATGCAGCTGCTGAGGGTATGAAGTAGAAGATGACTGCACGGGGGAAAAAAGGCATTATTTGTGTCTTTTTTCCTCCGAATATTAACTATCCCTCCAGCAGTTTTTACCTCCTCTGGAGAAAAGATACAGATTCTTGCATAAGGGTAGGATGTGGTGATTTGCAGTGAGGAAAATGACACACACTGTTAAGCAGCTCCATTTCTCACACAAAACCAGTATTTCATTTTAAACTGAGCATCCACACTGCATATGGAAAAACACCCCCCCCCCAGCAGCAAGAGACACATATTTATTGGTTGGTTATTAATTTGAAAATGTCTATCCCTCATTCTGCCTAAAAGTCCCAAGGCATGTCATTTTGTTCTAAGTGAGACTCACATTGGGAAACTTCACTGAGGAAAACAAGAAACGGGAGGGTATGAAAAATAAAGAAAAATACTTTTGAGATATTATTGATATTGGTTTGTTTGCTAACTTGATGAAATACTTTCCCTGCCATTCTAAATGCTTGGAAATGCTCACTGAAGGCATTACAAAAATTAGTCCCTACCCTGAATGCTCATATAAAAGTGAGCATTTCCAAGCATAGTTCCAGTCATCTATACATGCAGTAAATCTAAGTAATATATTTTGGGGCCACTCTGGACAAACCACACCCAAAACAATATCTTGAGAAGGTACTGGGTGTATGAGGGGCAAAGGAGGGGATGGGAGACTTTAAAAGGTTATTTGTCCTTTTCATTTCAGGGAATCCTGTGTTCATGCAAATTTGACTGCATCTCAGCCATGTGAACCTGTGCAAAGCCATAATTGAATATATATAGATTGTGAGGTTTAGTATATCACTAAAATCTTAATCCAATTGTCTTCTCTGAAAAGAAATAGTAAATAGTTGCATTCCATTTTGCGACACTTGATTTTCCAGACTGAATTTTGACTGTTTGATACCATCAAGAAAGGATATTAAAGCAGTGACAACTGCATAGGCAGATCCCATGGAAAATGATCCAGCAAAGATCCCTAGAAAATTGCCCACAGACTGGAAGAAGGCGGCAGCATCAAAAGCATTGGGATTCTCCTTTGGACTGTAAATTGATATCGAGCTGCAAGGAAGACAAAAAGGAGAGAGGAATAATGAATTCGATCACATGGCACAGAGACTGAAACCAAGAGCTTAAGATGTACTTTAGTAAGGACTAGCAATTGCTCCTCAGGGCTCCTAGCAGATTGGAAGGTCATGGGGAGGATGAAATAAGGGTTTATTTTTTAAGGCAATATCATGCACCACTGTCATTTCCTGCCAGTCAGTAAACATTTTTTGCACTCAAAGTGTCATAAAGAGTATTATTTCCAGGGCAACTAGACATTAAAACATGGTAGGTATGGAAGGAATCTATGGGGAAAATAGATAACTTTGAATTATTTATTGGTCATATGTCTTCAAAACAGTTATGCATTCACAAATATTCCTGATAAAAAGGCCACTTTTAGAGTTTACTTACAAATGGGCAATACAAATCATGGTATGTACAAAATCTTCAGCAGTGATCTTGTCACAAACCATTATAGATGTTCCATTCACTAGTTTTGCCCCTCATAAACAGGATTGTGAGCATGTCAACAGCCTAACAATATGAAACCCTGGGGTAACACACCACACGTTTCTTGAGGAAACAAACCTATTGCCTCTGCTAGTGGTCCTTTTTTATACCTAAGTATTTGGCTGCTGACACCAAGATTATATTCTTTTGGGAAATTAATGCTCTGCCACAGTGGGAAGATTATCTACTTAGAACATTTTGAGGGCATCAAACTTCCTGTTCACCAGTGGTGACTTCATACCCAGAATGCTAATAATACTGCTAAATCGGCATGCTCTTCTTTTGTTGTAACATTAAATTGAAGAGATATGCGGTAGCCTCAAGCATCCCAAATACTAATTAAGAAACATTTCGGATTTCCATGGCCCTTTCACTTTCAGCAGTTTAATTCTTTTCTACTGGCTGTCAAAGAGCATTTGGCAGAGAATTCTCAAAAGCAGTTTGCAATGTTGGAAAATGCATGGTATTTTAAACACTACATTTTTAGATTATCTTTAAATGAGATTAATAGTTCATGCTTACGAATATTACAAATATGTCAACCTGGCAAACCCATGTATCTAGTTAGAAACTAGCCATAAATGCTGCAGCAGTAGTTTAAGAGAATACCTCCTACAAAGGCATGCTTGTTTTTGTGTTCTCGGGCACATGCCCATGCATGTTTAGACAGAAAAAAGGTACTGCAGATGCTCGTATGAGCCATACTGGCTAGGGAATGCTGGGTGCTGCATTAATCCTTTCCTGTCTATACATGAACAAGGTGAATCCCTTAAAATATTACAACTACTTAGCTACCACATTGCATTAATCAAATATTTTTTATGTGTTATGTGGGTTAATAATTCATGAGGGTCCCTTCCATGTAAGCATTAGAAGCCTTGCTGGAAGGAAACACTTGTGTGTGACTTATGTGTGGCAGGTTCTGGGTGAATCACAAGAAAGCAGGAACCATGCTGAAAGGTCAACAGTGTCAATTAATTAGCCTAATAGGTTAGCAATCACTTGTTATCTATCTATCCATCCATTCATCCATCCGTCTGGTATCCTGTTCTTTCTCATTCCCTCTTTCTCATGTGGCTTATACAAGGCTATTTAAATATGAACTTCTCAAAACTGCTTGAAATTGTATTTATTTAGTTTATTTACATTCTGCTTTTCATTCAAAATAGTGCTCAAGAGGGCTAATGAGAAAATCCTCAAACTCTTAAATTAAAAACAAACTCTTAGATTAAAAACAAACTCTTAAACATAACATGAAACAAATAGATTAAAAACACAACATATTCCCACTAAACATGCCTGTTAGTGTCTTCCTCTGAACATCGTAAAACCCAAAGAGGCTTATATGGCAGAAGTACACTGTCTCTTGTCCAGGTTGTTTCGCAGCATCAAAACCCTGCTTGACTTCCTTAATATGGTCGTTTATCTTAAAACCAGGCTGGGGCCAGGCAGTTCTCCAAATGGAGGTGTCTTCAAATAGAGGACTAACCTCTGTTGACCCATAAAGAGCAGGGCTGTCCTTTATAAACAGGACACATGGCTGCCCTACTCTGTTGAACAGGAATTCAATTTCCACCTGGCTAATTTCAATGTGCGCAGTTCAAACCCCAATTAGATTGACTTAGAGACTATTTTGTGGGACAGCTTCTGTGAAAAATACCACAGTTCAAAATCATCCTTCTCGCCTACCAATCAGTGACACCATCAAATAAAAGTCAACATGATTTGTACCACTAGTAGTTGTTTCATCTGTTCAGTGAGATTCTCTGCTACTGCCTATTCTGGACACATGCTAAAGCGCAAGATGACTTTTGCAAATATCTATGGTTGAAAATAGCAAACTGTTGAAAAATAACAAACTGCCAAAGTAAACAGCAACTCGTGGTATAATCTGTTAAAGAAATGTAAGCATTTTTAGACCTAACTGAATATTTTCCTTTCTATATAATTGTTTTTATACTGTATAATTTTCCTTGATGCTTCTACAAGACAAGGCACACTGAAATGAATGGAAATCAAAATAAAGTCACACTGTATTCATTGCAACTTCATCTAAAGTGCACTTTTCTTTTTCTTTCTTTTTCTATCCTTTTTTGAGTACCTGAGAAGGGTAAAACACTTGTGGTTCTTATACAATGCAACCATTACACAGATTTGAGAAATGAAAACAGCTATACTTACTTAAGGGGTGGGGGAGGAATGTGCAGCCAATATGAACAAGTAGGATCCAAGTGATAAGTTAAGTTGTCTGGGCACAAAACGTCCCATTAATTTTTTTTAACCTTTTTGAAGGGAAGGCTTCAGCTCTGGATGACAACACATGCTTTGAATGAAAGTGGTCACACATTTTCCCTGGGAACTTTATGTAGAGCTCAGAAACACTTTTGTTTAAACCTTGGGGAGGTAATTCCAGTCAATATAGACCACTCAGAGCCCTCCAGAT